GGATGTCTGGCTCCTTTCTAGATGCAAGGCACTGGGGAGGTTTGGGTACTTAGGTACTCTCTACAGGGCCTTCTGAGAAACAGTTCCACTTTCCACATCTTGGAATAAAAAGGTAATATGAAAATATGTCAGAGAAAAACAAAACAAAAAAACCACAAATCATCTGTAAAGGAAAGTCCAACATAATTACAGTAGAGCTTGCAACACAATCCTTGAAGTCAAGGAGAGCTTGGAGTATAGTCTTTCAAGCGCTGAAAGAAAATAACTTCCAACCCAAACTGATGTACATTGTAAAACTCTCTTTCAGAATTAATGGAGAAATAAGATATTTCCATGAGAAACAGCAACTGAACTAACTGTATAGTGTGGCATGAAAGATATTATAGAGAGATATAGAAATGTGTACAAATCCAAGAAATTACTAGGAAGAAAACACCAGCCAGGGCAAGCAACCAAACAAAGATACTAACAGCAGATAATAATATAACAAGAATAAGTCGAAACATATCAGCAATAACCATCAATGTAAATGGTCTCAATTCACCAATCAAAAGAAATAGACTGGCCGAGTAGGTCAAGAAACAAGATCTAACAATATGCTACATGTAAGAAATAGATTTTAACTCAAAAAGAAATTTATACACTGAATTTCAAAGGATGGAAAATAATATTCTATGTGGCAACAAGAAAATATCAGGAGTAGCTATTCTATTTGCAACCAATGTGAACTTCAAGCCAAGACAGATCAAAAGAGATAAGGAAGGTCACTAAATTCTTGTTAAGGGAGAAAACAAGAAAGGTTAACAATCATAAATATGTATGCACCAAATACAGGAGCACCCAACTACATCAAACAAATATTAATGGACATGAACAATCAAATCATCACAGACAATTATAATGGGGGAACTTGACACCCCATTGTCACCAAACCATAAATCAACTAGGCAAAATATCAATAAAGAAATATAAGTGAATCAAACCTGTGAACAAATGGACTTAATAGATATGTACCGAGTGTTCAACCCCACAACATCGGAGTACACATTATTCTGAGTTGCACATGGAATATTCTCTAAAACAGACCACACACTGGCCCATAGAACATGCTTAAGTAAATGCAAATGAACTGAAATTATCCAATACATATAATTTGATCATAATACAATGAAACTGGAAATCAACAGCAAAAAAAAAACTTAACAAAAATTCCATAAATACACAGAAATTAAATAACACACTACTCAACAGCAAATGGATCATAGATGAAATTAAACAGTATCTCCAATTATATGTTAATGCTGATACAATATCCTGGAACCTATGGGACATAATGAAAGCAGTTCAAAGGAGCGAATTTATAGCAATGAATACCCGTATCAGGAAGACAGAATAAACTCACATAAACAACTGAATGTTGAGTCTCAGACATCTAGAAAAAGAAAAAATTAAACCCAAAGCTTATACTAGGAAAGAAATTATAAAGATCAGAGCAGATATAAAGCAATTGACACCAAGAAAATCCTACAAAGAATCGATGAATTAAAAAGTTGGTTCTTTGAAAGATTAAATTGATAAATCCTTAGAAAAACATAAAAAAAGACTCAAATTCATGCAATTACCAGTGAAAGGGGTGAAATCGTAACAGATCCTGTTGAAATCCAGATCATCAAAATCTACCTTAAAAACTTTTATTCCAAAAATAATGGAAAACACACTTGAAATGGACAGATTCCTAAATATATAACAAGTACCAAAGCTGAATCAAGATATTAAAAATCTAAATGACCTGATATCAGTCAACAAAATTGAAAATGTAATGGAAAGTCTATCAACAAAGAAAAACCCAGGTCCTGATGGATACACAGCTGAGTTCTACAAGAAATTTAGAGAGTATCTAATGCCATTACTTTTCAAACCCTTCAATGAAGTAGAAAAAGAAATGATACTCCCAAAATGATCCCTGCAAGCAAGCTGTACCCTGATACCAAAACCACAGAAGGATTCACTCAAAAAAGAGAACTACAGCCCAATCTCCTAAATGAACATGAATGCAAAAATCCTCAATAAAATACTAGCAGAGTACAGCAAATCATCAAGAAGATTATATAGCATGATCAAGTGAGATTTACCCCAGTTATGTGAGCATGGTTCAACATATACAAATCAATAAATGTAATATACCACATTAACAGAGCCAAAGAAAAAATCATGTGACTTAATAGATGCAAAAAAAGCATTTGACATAATCCAATGTCCATTAGTGGTTAAAAAAAACTTAGAATAGATGGTCTTTATCCCAATCTGGTAAAAGCCATATGTGACAAGCCAATGGCCAATATCGTACTACATGGTTAAAATGGAAAGCTTTTATGCTAAAATTCAGAAGGAGAAGAGGATGTCCAATGTCACCTTCTCCTATCTAATACAGTTCTGGAAATACTGGCAGAACAATCAGATGAGTGAGAGAGAGAGAGAGAGAGAGATACAGAGACAGAGACAGAGACAGAGACAGACAGAAACAGAGATACAGAAAGAGACAGAGACAGAAGGACAGAGACAAAGAGAAGGAATAAAAATAAGAAAGAAATTAAATTATCATATAACATAGTACTATACATAAAAGATCCCAAAAGCCCCACCAAAAGGATTCTACATTTGATAACCAGATTGAGTAGAATAGCCGGATACAAAGTCAACACTCAAAAATCAATAGCATTCCTGTACATAAAGAACTCACTGGGAGAGAAATTAGGGAAGCAAGACCTTTCAAAATGCCACCCAAAAAATGCAATACTTAGCAATTAATCTAAAAAAGGAAGTAACGGATCTCTACATTGAAAATTACAGTAATCTGAAAAAGGAGATCAAAGAAGACATCAGCAAATGGAAAGATATCCTTGCTCGTGGGTAGGAAAAACCAGTATAGTGAAATGGCCGTACTTCCAAAATTGCTATACTAATTCAATGCAATCCTAATCAAATTACCATTAGCATACCTCACAAAATTAGAGAAAACATTCCTAAAACTCCTTTTGAACCAGAAGAGATCAAGAATAACAAAAACAATCCTTGGCCACAAAAGCAAGACAGAGTGCATCACAAGCTCTGACTCAAAATTGTACTAAAAGCTACTGTAATAAAAGCAGCATGGTATTGGCAAAAGAACACATCTGAGGATCAGTGGAACAGACTATAAGGTGCAGAAACAACTCCAAACGCTTTCAGTCAGTTGATCTTTGACAAAGAGAACAAATGCACTCACTAGGATAGCCTCCTGAATGCATGGTGCTGGAAAAATTAGCTTTTCGCATGCTGAAGACAAAAGTTAGACCCACATCCATCACCATGCACTAAATCAAAGTTAAAATGGATCAAAGACCTAAATACTAAAACAGAAATAGTAAGTCTACTGAAAGACAGAAAAGGTAGAACTTTGGAAGATATAGGTGTAGGCTAAGACTTCATGAGTGTAAGACATTTTGTTTCAGCAACAAGAAAAGTAAGACAAAACTTGGTAGCATACAAGTGGGGTCATTGCTGTGACTGTACCTGACCACATGATTTAGAAGTATTTGAAGCTGCCTTGTGGGAAGGGGAAGAGTTAGGATTAAGAGTAGGTGACAGGACAAAATACCTAACACCCAAAGGGGAAAAGTTTATTTAGCCTATTGTTCATAAAGATTTCAGTCCATAATCAACTGGTTCCAGGCAGGACTGATTGGCAGATAAACAGTTTATGGTGACCAGAAGGCAGCAAGGCAAGCAAAGGACCTTAACAGCATCTTTCTGCCCCTTTGGTACTCTATCTAGGCTACCAAAATCAGGGCAATGACCAATCAGTAGACCAATTACTGAATTAACCCCAGCATTGCACCACACATCAATCACACATACTAGATCCAGCCATTTCTGAAAAAAGTCCCACCTACGAATTCAGGCAACTTAGGGAGGACATGTAAACACAAGCCACCGCAGTGTAGGTTTTTAGTTTTCACAGTCATGGGCTTTAGATACCAGGCTTTTCTAGTGTTAGGGATTCATCTGTGGCTCAGAACAAGCAGCTCCTCAGGCCTTGGGTACTTTCCTGCTGACAGTGTCTGCCAGCTATTTTCAGTGTTACTAGTTCTAACCACTGCTGCTCTTGGTGCCAGCAGCCCTTGGGGTTCCCAGCTCAGCACATGCTACCCAAAACAATAATCACCAATAGGAAGGAACACACATCCACAAGAGGATGAACACTGGTGCATGGGTTCTGCTTAAAGAAGGTGGCAAGGATGATTCCAGAGGGGCATAGTTATCCTGAGGGGTTGCAGGGCAGAGTCATTTGTGACAGGACTGTCACTGAAGACTGCTGCAGTACAAGGAGCTCATGGGCCCCTGATGGCCCCAGAACCACGTAAGGCATCTGTGGCAGCTGTGGGGTAAAGTTCTTCTGGGCACCATTGGGGACCCATCTTGTCCACTCTCCTTCTCTGCCTCCACAGAACTGAATGACTGGCAATGAGAGGTGGCTCATTGGGACCTGTGTCTGGTCCTTGGTCACCTCCCAGCACTGGAGGTCTCTGAATGGGGGTAAAAACAGATCACAAACAGGAGCCACAAACCAAGAACCTGGCATCTTCTCACTTCGCAGGTGACCGTTTCCCTCATGGACACACTGGCTGACACAGTGCGGTGAGAAGTTATTTCAATGGCACTGATGTGGTGGTAAAATACTGGCCTGCCTGGACCCTGAACAAAGGAGACACGGAGGAAATGGCCAAAAGAAACAGAAAGAAGACCATTATTAGAAGCCTCTAGACAATACTACTGGCATTTCTTGCCTGTGCCTAAGGATTTCCTGAGTGAGTAATTGTTTCCCGCGTATTTCTTTCTCCTAGAAATATGATTGTTGACAGGTAGCTAATAACTGCCTTCAACTATGTTGGCTTCTAAGGAGATTGTTTGCCGGGTCTCAAACACTCAGGTCTCTAAGAAAAACCAGGAAGAGTCCGAAGATGAATATAATTAAAAAGAAGAGACCAGCAAGGAGTGGAACAACACCTAAGGAGCTGCTCCTGCTCAACGAGTCTGTCCACAAGAGGATGAACACTGGTTCTTATTGTTTAGAACACTGGTTCTGAACACTGATTACTTATTTATGCTAAAAAGAAAGTAATGTTCAAAACGTACAAATATCAGTTATTTATAAGTAAGTAAATAAATGAAAGTCATAAAATGCTCGAGTTGGTTTGTCTGGGTGAAAAACAAAAAGAGTATGCGTGAGAGGCTGTCGCATGTGATTGGGTGAAAATCACAGTCCCCACCCCACCCCAGCCCCTCCTAGCACTGAGCGCTTTGGGGTTAAAAAACTTGCGCAGGTCCCAGCCTGACTCCAGCAAAGTTCGTCCAGCTGTTCCCCTGGTTGTGTGGAGTCCAGAAGAACAGAGTTTGAAGCACGCGCGGGCTGCAGCACGGAAAGGTACAGCAGGGGAGCAGGGAGAGGGCGGCGGGGAGAGGATGGCAGGCTGGGGCCCCCCTCGGCCGCCACCGAGCCGCTGGACGTGGGCGACCGCGCCGACCGCCAGGTGCGCGCCAGGAACCCTGGAACCCTGCGGGGCTGGGGGAGCGCGGAGAGGACCCGCGGAAGCCCGGAGTCCCCAATCTCGGGGTCCCCGGGTCCTCTGCAACTTCGCAGAGTACCCGCAGGTGGCGCAGTGGGCCCCAACCCTGCTATGAGGGCTCAGCCTCGGGACCCCTCTGCCTTCCGGGTCCCCACAGGATCCATGGACCCAGCCGCGATCCTCTACGTCCTCGTCGCCATCCTGGCCGGGCTGCTGCAGCCCTCAAAGCCTCTCCGGGCGACTGATGCCGGTGAGTCACCGCGCGCTGCGCCCCGCTACCTCTCCCCGCATCCCGCGCGCCAGGATCCTTTCCTGGGGACCAGGTCACCTCAGCCCTGCTCCCCATGCCACCCCAGGGCTCAGAAGGGGAGGAAATCACAGGAAGCAGGGGATGGAGAGGTAGTAGGGCTAAGCCTGAGAGGAGGTTCTCAGGGTGACCCGCGGGCCACCAGCAAGAGACCTAAACTCCTGGAAAGTGCAGCCTGCATTCAGGTATGGGAAGCTAACCCAGAAGGTCTCAGGGAGCCCAGGCCACCTCCTGTCTGTGACAGACTGTCTGCATCCATAGTTCTCCACAATCTTTGCCAGCAGACACGTGCCAGGCGCCCCACGGAATCACCGTCCCGTCCACCACCCACTTCCCTCCTGAGTCACCCACTGCCCTGGTGCGCCCTGCCCACATTGCCAGGTACCTCAGGTCTCTCTATGCCTGAGGACACAGTCCAGCAACACATCCCTTCTCCCCCACAGGATCTAAAGTGTTGAGACCAGAGCAGCTCTTGTGGTTTCCCTAGGGAAGGCCAAAGGGGACTACAAAATACAGAGGAGAGGAAGGCTGGGGTCAGGTGGAGCCCTAACTCTGGATGGAAGGCAAGAAACTGCCCCCTCACTGTAGGAGACTTTATTTACACATTTAGCAACTTGTTACCTGACACCCCCTTGCCCTAGAAACTGGGTTTACAGATTGTCTTGGAGCTAGGTGTTCACAGGGCTTTAGCAGATTCTTTACATGGCTTAGTCCCCCAACAGCCATGCCCCAGCCAGCCCTGCATCTGTGCTCAAAGTCCAGCCTTCAAGCTCCCTATACTAAGGCAGCAGGTATGGGCACTCTGTGCCCAGGAGGACACTGGCACGGGTGTAGGCAGGGGCATCTAGAGACTTCTGCCTTTGAGCCCAGACCCCTGGCCTTCCTTTTGGGAGGAGAGCACAGGAAGATGGTTATTAATTAGACAGGAATCCACCACTTTTCTCTCAAATCTTTTCAGCTTCGCAGGCCACAAAGCTCTCTCTGAGCCCCACCTTCAGTGTGAAGCTGCAGAGGGCAAGCCAGTGGGCTGGAATCAGACTTGACCACTTCCTGGGTTTATCTTCCTGATGAATCACCTATACTATTAATTTTCTACTCTCTCTTGTCTTCATCTCTGTCTCACTATGCTGATGCTGGTTTGGTTTTTTTTGTTTTTTTTTTTTTTTCCTTTGCTCACCATTTTTTGTCTACTTGACATACAAGAGTCCTCCTGACTTCCTATGAAGCAGAGCGCACAGGACATTTTTCTGGTGTTCATGTTACATCCACTCTGAGCTTACCGATCTTTCCTCTGATGCATTTCTAGTTTTCTTTTTCTAATTTTTATGTTTATTACATTCAGCATGGGGAGTAGCTGCTAGTACATAACATGGTCTATTGTTTCTGTGTCATGCAATATAGGTTACAGCTTCCCAAGCTAAGAGAACCCACTCTCCTACCACAGTCAATGGCCCCATCCCACCAGTCAATGGAAACCCCATGAACCATAACCATAAACTGAACTTCTGTGCCACTCCTGACTTCCACTCTCACCCCCAAAGGCAGGGCAACTCCATACACTCCCCATCTTCCTGAAGTCCAACTTCAGTTGTTTCTGAAGTCCCTCTGCCATCCTGGTCTTTCTTCCAACAAGACCAATTGGTCATGAATGTGGGAACCTTTTTCTGGAACATGAAGCTGCTACCAGCGTATGTTCTTTCCTCCTCAAGCAAGGAAAGAACGCCAGCTTTCCATGGGTGGCAGATAGCACAGTGTGAGAAGGAAGTGCAGCCCTTCAGAGAGTCACTTCCCCTCACAGATATTATTATGACAGAGGGGTTCATTCCTTCCTCACCTCTAATCTTTCCTTATGCTTTTCCCTAACAGGCACTAACTGTCTTTTCTATGAATTCATCATCAATCCTAAGCCCCTGCCTGGACAGCAGCAGTGCAAAGTCCAAGGTCAGCTGGATCACAGGATCTTTCTTTCCTATGACTGTGTTGGTGCCAAGGCCATATCAATGGGTGTCCTTGGAGGGAAGCTCAATAGCACCAAGTCATGGAATGACCAGTTAGAAACACTGCAGGATGTGGCCACAGAGTTCAAACAGCAAGTGTGGGACATTAAACCAGAGGAATGTGCATCCACAGGTAAGTTGGAATACTCCAAGACAATGAGAGAGGTGCTAGGGCTTTGGGGATATTTACCATATTCGTGGGGTAAAGAAAACAACTGGATGTTGGTCTCATCAAGGATGGATGTGGATGAAGAACATGGAAAGATTAGTAGATTACAGGAGGTGAGTATTGGGTGGGGCCAAGGATTTCTCAAGAAGGGAGGTTAATCTCTTTCCGTGGGGCAGATCCCAATTTCTTGATGGCCAGGATGACCTGTCTTCAGAAAGCTGGTGGAAACATTGTCGGGTTCTGGGACCTTGGATTTAAAGGAAACATTTTTCTCCATCTTGACTCAAACAATAAAACATGGAAAGACCTCCCTTCTGGATTCAGCTCCATGAACGAGAAGTGGAAGAGTAACAGGGAGCTGACCCAGTGGCTAAGCCGAACATCAGTGGATGACTGTGGAAGCTGCTTTAAGGAGTTCCTGGAGCATTCAGAGGAAAATCTTCAGATCAGAGGTAACTGGGAAGAACTGGAGGAAGGGGTAGCTCCCTCCAGATAAGATGCTCCCATGTGCCTATGTGTGACTACCTGTATTCCTGTGCATGTACCTATGTATGTGTAAATTTTTCATCTAGAATGATCAGGAATGATTTCTCCCTGGGAAATGATGCCATGTGTATTCTTCCCATCTTTGCCCTTCTCATGTCCTAACATCGCCTGCACCCTGCACATAGCTTTGATGCATTCACCATGGGTTTCTTGCTGACCTCCACACTGAGGACACCATTCTCTCTCCAGGCTTCCCTTGGCATCATTTTTCTCTCATCTCACCTGGCCTCTTTCTCTTTCAAAACCACCTCATAGGTCAGCTCCTGAGACCATTCCCTACCACTCTGATCAGGGATCACTTTCTCTTCTGTCACCAGCTAGGATGGGTTACATTGGTACCCTGGCTGCTTGCCTAAATATGTCACTAACCCCAAGGACCTCCTTCTCTTTCTTTATCCAACTCAGGACCTGTCACAGTGGCTGCCACATAGCACAGGGGTAGAAGCTGTCTGCATGGCTGGGTGGGCTGAGGTAGCTGGAGCTGAGGGGGCATCTCCTCAGATGTGGGGTCCTGACAAATGCTGATTCTCTCCTGTTTCCATCCCAGCACCACCCACCACCCTGGCTGCAACTCTACCCACTTCAAAGGCCACCAGGCTGAGCCACAGGGCCCTGCTGCTGATCCTACCCTGCTCATTGATTCTTTTGAATGTTGTCTGATTGTATAAAGAATTCAATTGTTTTAGTCTGTCTTTCAACATTATCCTCTGACAGTCAAATAATGACATTCATTGTGAAACAAACACCTTAATTAGTCTGGGATTTTGTTTTATGCTTGATGTGGTACATAATTTTATGTGTTCCCCTGAATGCCTGATAAGTGACAAAACATCATTTCTAATGTGTTTGGAAGACAGTTCTTGGAAGACACTCTCATTCAAATGACCAGACCGAAAGACAGCACTGCAGTACATCAAGAGACCACAGTGCCTTCCTGGGAAGCAGCACAAGCTGCAGCTGTGCTAAGGGAAGACTAAGTCAGTGTCTCCAGTGAGCATGCTGAGAACCAAAAGTCTGCTGTACATCTCCCACTCCCTGGTAGCAAGTGGATAGTTTTGAGGACAGCCCGAGTTGATAGCAACAAAGGTACATAAAGCAACTAAATGCTTGTACTGCTGTTTAGGTTGATTATGCTAACCTGGGGCCAGAGGTCTGAGCATCTCTTGGAAGGATGATAGTAGGCAATATAGCAAATGTGGAAATCTACTGACTTGGCGTTGAAGGCCAGTATTGTTTTCACTCTTTTGCTTTGTTCTGATTAATTGTTTTGCTCTAGTTAATATTCTGCTTTGATTGCTTTCATTGTGTTCTTTCCATGGTTTGGTTTTACTATAGCTGACTGAATGGACAACTATTGTGAAGATAACAAGATTTGCTATGGGAGCTGTTCTTGCTAACCTGGTATCCTGCTCTGAAGTTCTGTACTAATTTCACTGCATTGTCTTGATTGGTTTTGTTCTCCCTTGTTTTGTTATAATTAACTACCTTCAAAATAAGATGAAAAAAAAAAAAGAAAAAGAAAGAAGCTGGGGACAAAATCCACCTTTCAAAGATGCATCCCCAATCATTCACTTCCTCCAGCTAGGCTCCACCTCTCTCCCCATCATAGGTACATTTCACACACATCTTGCCAGCTTGCACTCTGGCAGGAATATTTCTCCCAAGATCTGAGGATGGAACATCTCCATGGCAAAGAATGCTGGGCTCAGCATCACTTCAGGAAAAAATCTGGAAAAATAACATGCACTTAACCTCTTTGCATTATAATATCATAGCTGTAATCAATGGTAGGAATGTTTCCCTGTGAGAATAAACTATCAGGACAGTCACCTGGAAATATGGGCCCAGGCTCCTATTTTGCAATGTTGGTAAAGTTAGGAGGCTGATATAAAGAGGTATGTGGGATGGAACCAGTCGTGAAATCCTAGCTGGAGATGACACCTGCATAATATTTGACTAATCTGAGTGCGTTCCCAGTTTTTATGGGTGTAAAGCACTGAGGACTTGAGACACCTACTGTAAATGCTCCTTGCATGTTTAGCATCATAATCATCAGTTCGTCCTCATGAAACTCTCAGTAACTTTCCTAAATGAAGGAAAACACTTGAAAGGGGAGGGAAATAAAAGAGCCTTGCCATCCTCACAGAGATCTCCTTACCATGTACCAGTGTGCCACTTGCAGCTCTAGATCCGTGCTTCCCTAGCCCCAGCAATGAACACTGTTCCTCCTGACCAGTGCTTTGTCAGCAGAGAAGACCACCAGCCAGCCATGGGGGAATGTGGGAATATGCTCTCCAAGTCTTGCCTCACAAACACATTACCTCCTGCACTTTTCTTCCCTGGAACAGATTTTAATTCCTGATACCTCACCACAAAGAGTTTCCTAGATTCTACAAAGAGCTACTGACCTCTCAGATGGAGCTGAGGGGCATTTCTTCGGATGTGGGGTCCTGACAAATGAAGATTGTCTCTTGTTTCTATTCCAGTACCACCCATCACTTCAGCAGGACCTGATTCCACTTTAATGGCCACCCTGCTGAGCTGCTGGTTCCTGGTGTTAATAATCTCATGTGTGATTTTTCTCTTTTTTAAAAAAATTAAATTATGTTATATGAAAAGATGTTCAAGGCTGGGTTTTACCTCAGCAGCATATGTTTTTCCAGGCAAGTACGAGGTCCTGAGTTCCATCTATTGTAAAAAGGAAAAAAAAATGTTCACAATCATTGATCATTGGAGAAATTCAAGTTAAAACAACACTGAGGTTCCATCTCAACCCAGAAAGAATGCCCAGGATTAAGAAACAACCAATAACAAATGCTGGAGACGTGCTATGAGGAAAAAGAATTCTTCTGCACTGCTGGTGGCAGTGTAGACTGGTACAGCCACTGTGGAAACCAGTGTGGAGATTCCTCAAAAAGCTGGCATTGGAAGTCCCATTTGTTCCAGCTATCCCACTTCTGGGCATATTCTCAGAAGAACTGAAAACATCATACCACAGTGATATATGTGCACTCATGTTTATAGCACCACAATTTGTAATAGCCAAATCTTGGAAACAACCCAAATGCTCATCAGCTGAGGAATGGATAAAAAGGATGTGGTATTTTTATGTAATAGAGTACTACCCAGCTATAAAGAAGGATCACCTTGAGGCTTTTATAGGTAAATGGATGAGACTTGAGACCACAATCAGAAGTAAAATAAATCAACTCACATATATAAATACCATGCTGTCTTCCTGATGTAAGAAACTGGAAGAATAAATAAGATCCAAAAATCTTCAATAGAGGGATAAGAAACTGCTAAAAGGGAAAAAATAACTAGGACAGTGAAAAGGAGGAAAGAAGGAAGGGAAAAGAAACATGATGTCAATTTGTATATAAACCCTTAACATAGCTAAGATGATTGTATTATTCTATTAGTTCTAGGAACAAAACAGTTAACACTCATAGCATTAGATCAATTTTGCATGTCTATCTCGGGGAATCTGAGTAACCCTTTTGAAGACAACTGTGCAAAATAACAACCTTTGTTAAATTCCTACTACCTCATTTTGAAAGCCTATATTGTTAGTGTTGGGATTTTTTTTTATCATTGCTTGTCTCTTTGGTTTCTTGTTTTTCATGTACTTTATTTTATTTTGTTTTGTTTTTCCCCTTTAAAACAAAAAAAATGATTTTTATTGTCTTTTCCAACAACTTATTCTCTTCTGACATTTAAATAAAGATCTTTATTTTGAAACAAATATCTCAATTAGTCTGGAATTGTATTTTATGATGTGTGTGGTGCATAATTTCATGTGTCTTCCTGACTGCTTGATAGGTGATAGAACAGTACTTCTAGGTATGTTTGGGGAAAGTTTCCTGGAAGATCTCATTCAAAATACCAGACTGAAGACTGCTCTCCACAGTGCAGAGAAACCAGCAATCACAGAGAAACCACAAGAAAAGTAGAGCAGAGGGGAATTCATTCTGCTTGAGCATATCCATGCATTTGCATTCCTCCCCTTGACATTGTCATGGTTTATGTCAGTGCCCCCCCCCCCAGATCTCATGCAATCATGGACACAGCTGAATCGAGTGTTTGTGATTGGTTCCTTGTCTAGCACTCCATTTGGTGGTGTGAGTACTATACCAGCTCAGGCGAGGAGCCAACATACAGTTTCATGGGGGGAGAAGGCATGTCTTCTCTCGCACCAGTTCCTGTTTGCTGTTTGCCATGGCCCACAATACCACCCTGCCAGTTGGAGTCATCTGAGTATGGGCTAAAACCTCCAAAATCGAAGAAACAAACCTTTCTTTCCCTAACTTTGAGCCTCTAATATTTTCTCTTAACGATGAGAGACAAAAACAGGCAAGATAGACTTTGAATGTTCTCTACTCAAGGCTTCCTAACTCAGAACAGAACTTACAACCTTGCTCCCTATTGTCAAGACTTTGCTAGCAGATGGAATTATACCACTGGCTTTCTTGGTTCCTAAGCCTATAGACAACATATTGCAAGATTCCTGTTCTGGCTATAAGATGAAATCAGTGTGAGAATTGAACTTTTTCCTTCACAGGAAGAGGCAGAGTGTGGACCAGGTGGAGGCTTGAGGGATGTTGAAAGGAACAGGGAGGGTGAAAAAGTCAAAGAGAGGTGAAGAGGCTGAAGGCAAAATACACCCTCCAGAGATACACCCCATTCATTCATGCCTACCACCTGGGCTGCACCTCTCTTCCTATCATACATGTATTTCATACAAGTCTTACCAGCTTGTACTCTGGGGGAAGGATTTCCCTAGAAACTGAGGAGGGAACATCTCCATGGAAAAAACCCAGGGCTCCACATCTCTTGAGGAAAGCTCTGAAAAAATGAAATGCAGTTTGTGTTTTCCATCTTATCATCATACTTACTATGAATGCCTAGGAATGCATTCCTCTGAGGATAAACTATCTGGATTCTCACCTGGAAAAATGGGCTCATGTTTCTATTTTATACTGTGGGGCAAGTTAGATGCAGGTAGAAAGAGGTGTATGTGAACCAGTCATGGAATATTAGCAGGAGATGACAGCTGGGTAACACTTGACTACTCTGAGTTACCAGGTTTAATGGGTGTAAAGCCATGAGGAATGTGTGTTACCTACTGTAAGTGCTCAGTACATGTTTACCATCATAATCTTCAAAGCATCCTCATGAAACAGTGATTTCCCTAAATGAAGGAAAGAATTTGATGGGGGAGGGGAAAACCCAGAGCCCTGCTGTGCTCACAGAGATCACTTACCATGTACCAGTGTGCTACTCTCAGCTCCAGACCTGCCCTTCCCTGGCCTATCAATGAGGCTGCTCTTTCTTGTGAACACTTTCCTCCTGGCCAGTGCTTTGTCAGCCAAAATGACTACCAGCCAGCCATGGGGGAAGGTGGGAACATGCTCCCCAAGTCTTGCCTCACAAACACGCTCCTTCCTGCGCTTTTAGACCCTATTAAGTATTTTTATTCCTGATATCTTGCCATGAGGAGTTTCCTAGATTCTACAAACAGCTACTGAGCTTTTCCTACTGACATCAGCTGATAAAGCACCTTAGTGACCTTTGTTTCTCACTCAGAGGCCCAGGCTATCATCTCTCCTAGAAAGACTAATCCCAAGGCCTGAGCATGGGGCTCTTCCAGACTTACTCCTCCTGAGTATTCTCCTTCAACCT